GTCAATTGCATCCATTGAACGAACAAGTAAAACTTTATAAATTATTATAATATATTCAACTCCACAGAATTCATTATTTTTATAAGTTTCATCCCCCCCCCCCCTTCCCCGCTTATGAAATTATCTTATTGACTAAAACATAATTCACGCATAGCTAGTCAAATCAGAATACTCACTCATACTAGATAACCTTGAACCTAATGCATATGAATGTTGCCTTTTTCGAAGTGATAAATGGATAAGTTCATATTTGAATAAACTTCCAGTATCATTCAGGGAATATAAGAGAGGCTAGGCTAGACGTTCAAATGCAAACCGTGAATCTGAACGCGTAAGTCCACGCTCAAGTACACGTGTAAGAAAATTTTCTGTTAAGCTACACGTCTGAAACCAAACCAGTGGACGTGGTGATATATTTATGTGGTGACTGTGTCTATGGTTCATGGCTCTATGGTGTAATGGATAGCACTAGGACTCTTGTCCATTAGGCCTGGGTTCAAATCTAGTCGCATGAAAACATTTTTGTTTTTTATTTTTGCTTTCATATTCAACCACAATTCAAAGACTAGATGCGAGTAGAAATAATCTTGATTTACCTCATCAAAAATTCCAAATTGAGTCAAACTGATGTCATATTTGGAATCTACACGTAGAATTACATCTAGAAATGTGGTTTTGAAGAGAGTTTATCAACTTTGAAAATGTGACTTCTAGGTCGGGGAGATTCCCCATAGAGCCCATGTTGTAAAATCACAAACAAGAAGTGAAATATCTTTTCTTGTGTTAGGCAGATATTTTTTTCTTTTACTGGGCATATTTTAATTTGTATACCTATCAGATACAAAAGGGTAATATGAAAAGTGAACCACTAAAACTGATGAATATTCAAGTTTAAGGGAATTTTGTAATACCCTGCCATGTTATTTCCCCCGACTCAGCCACCTGGTGGCGAAACTGGTAACTACCTAGCTACTCGCATCTGTGTAATTACTTTAGTATCACTTTTTGCTCATATCAAGGTCGGACGAAAATGCCTCGTTCGCAAATCAAATGTAGTGATAAGGCAATCATAGGCCCTAGTTGTCAGTTCATTTCGTTTAGTATACATATTGTACTAAGCCCAGTGTGGGTAACAAATTAGCTCTGCGTATATTTATATTGTACGGAATAAAACAAAACGATCACATTTGAAGTTGTCATTTACCCATTAAAATGTAATCTTATTTCCAATGAAGGATTGGGGTTTAGTAATATAACAAGCAAGATTATCTGTATCTATAGCCTCCGCTGGGCCATCCTAGAACATAGCTAAAATCACGTAATGAGCGACGTGTCATCACTCATCTACACGTAAAACCTGTATCTTTCACGCTTACCTGTAGCAAGTAGAGGTGTCACTCCGGTAAATAGCACTTCCGGGTAGGATGTTTTTTAATACTTTAAAAACGAAGCCATGCCAACTTCAATGGTGTGTATAGTAGGTTTAAGTGTATGCAATGTGGCCATTTGAGGTATGTATGTAAAGCTGAGGCCAAGTACTTTCTAAATGTGCCATTTTAAGAAAAAAATCGCAAGAATATAGTCCCGTAAACTGGAACTACTTTATTCGTTAATTTTTATCGGTGAAGCAGGGATTTTACCTGAAAATGAGTCCCTATGTTGGCGTAGTGATATTTAAAAATCGAGACGCAAACCCTATGTTAAATATAGTGTCAAGATGAAGGTTATGTATAGGGGAACGCAGAAATATAGTCATTGTATGGGCTAGTTTGTTCGAAAATGGCGATATGTACCCCAGAACTTGAATTTTGTGATTTTTTTCAATATTTTTCAATGATTTACAGGAGTGACACCTAGACTAATCTGACGTCATTTTCCTGCGCGCGCATAGAAGTACACGTTCATGCGTAGTTGAATACGCGTCTGTAAATTGTACCAATATGATGTGATGTGATTGGTTGGAGTTATGGTTGCCATAGCAACAGAAAGCATGAAGACCAGGGGCAACTATCAAAGAATTAAATTATCAGTCGAAGCGCTTTTGACAATATATTTCAATCACAATTGAAATGACATATCATATTCTTATTGTATACTTCATAACTACTCTACCTAATGTCCTTAGTTTTTAACATGTAGTTCATGTGATCTACTCCAGTCTTTGAACACCTTTTTAAACCCATTTTCCCATACCTTGCTGCAAATTTTTAAGATAGCTGACTTTAAGTCTTCCCATGAGAAACTCCCTCAATTCCCCCCTCTTCAGGTCACCATGAAGGTAAAATCATTAGGGGACAAGTCAGGAGAGTATAGAACATGACCTAACAGTGGGAAACCTAGTGCTTCAATGGCTTGTACCGTGAGAATAGCTTTTATTTGAGATGGAGCATTATCCCAGTACAATGTGAAACGTTTTGCGGGCCTCTTCTTCTTCTTTGCTCTTGTCAAATCTCTTCTGTATTGTTTTTCATCATTGACCTGTGTCATAGACATTCTATGATCACATCAGTTTTCATTATATATTTATCTTTTCTGTGACATCAAACTTCAAATTTGCAAGAAAATATGTAACAATGGAAACAAATTTTGAATTGTTCGATTGATATTTTTATCATCATATTTAAAATACTTTGTTTCCATTTTGTCTCTTAATTGACCCATGTTCCATAAAAGGCTCCGTAACCATGGCAACCATCGTGACGTCATAATAAACAATACATAAGAACTCTTCAACATGTCCCATATACAAATCAAATTGTTATTAAATGGTTTTGGATTATCTTCTTAGCATACCATAAGCTGGAAATATGTCTTTTTTCACCAATTTTGGTGCATTTTCTAGGTTGTAAACAGACAACAAACATGGGTTGCTTAGCAACCATGACACGCGCTAACCAATCATCTGTTAGGAGAATAAATTATATATTTTGGCTTCCAAATGGTCATACTTTCATATAAGAATAACATTTCTGAAATATAAAGATTGACTTGTGCCACTCTCCAATGGTGTCCTGCCCCCTTTTTACAAATAGTGCCTCTTAAAACAATAAATGCTGGCACCCACGTTTATTTCTTTTCAGTTTGAAAAAGAGGTGCTTTTTATCATTTTTCGTTCAAATTGGACGCAATTAAATTGCCCTGGGTACCCCCGACTCCAGTTGCCATGGTAACTATAATATTAACCAATCAGATGGCAGCATTTATATATTGTTTTAATTCAGAAATGTACATTGTACAAGGTATATTCCGACCAAATTTCAGGATGTTTAGACCAATATTTACAAAATACCAGATACCTTTACCTTATTTATTGATCACCCTGTAAACTCTCTAATGTTTCTGTTGGTGTACTTAAAATGGTACTCACTGCAGATACCATATTTTTGTAATGATAAAGGTTTACTTCCAATAAATTGTTTCTGTTGATGTACTTCAGAATGGTACTCACTGCAAATACCATCTATATGTAATGATAAAGGTTTACTTCCAAAAAATTGTTTCTGTTGATGTACTCCAGAATGGTACTCACTGCAAATACCATCTATATGTAATGATAAAGGTTTACTTCCAATAAATTGTTTCTGTTGATGTACTTCAGAATGGTACTCACTGCAAATACCATCTATATGTAATGATAAAGGTTTACTTCCAATAAATTGTTTCTGTTGATGTACTTCAGAATGGTACTCACTGCAAATACCATCTATATGTAATGATAAAGGTTTACTTCCAATAAATTGTTTCTGTTGATGTACTTCAGAATGGTACTCACTGCAAATACCATCTATATGTAATGATAAAGGTTTACTTCCAATAAATTGTGTCTGTTGATGTACTTCAGAATGGTACTCACTGCAAATACCATCTATATGTAATGATAAAGGTTTACTTCCAATAAATTGTTTCTGTTGATGTACTTCAGAATGGCACTCACTGCAAATACCATCTATATGTAATGATAAAGGTTTACCTACAATTTAAATTGTTTCTGTTGATGTGCACGTGCTTATGGCTTTGTAGGGAGGAAACGATGAGTTAGTAATACAACTGACAAGTTGACAAGAAAAGGCAAACTGATAGAGTGTGACCAATAATCCTTTATACGTGAACATTGAACAATACGAGTATGTTGTCAGTTTTTTATTCTAATTTAAAAATGTATTCCTGATATATATGATATACACCATATACAAACAAACTGAAATTAAATTGATTTCAATCATTTATTTTTCATCTAGAAAAATCGTCCCTGAGTAATCAAGTGTAAATAATTGTTGTGATTATGAGTTATCGTCAATGGTAGCCAATGGCTACTAGCCATATCTGTACCTTCTGAACTTATCATTTTGCTGTAGTACGTACCCTGTTCCTGTTCTAAAACTCTAAATATAAGTTTTAGCACTTCAACACCTACATATATACTACATAATGTAATATAATATATACATATATAATAATATCTCTACAGGGCGTCTCAAAAATGTACCCAAAAGTATATCTATCAACAGCACTTAACCCTTTACTTTTTATTTCATATTTCGATGACAGCCTAGTATCCTTACAACATTGTTCGTCGTCAATTCTCTGCGGATGTTGGCCTTAAGTTGTTCTAGGTCTTTTCGCTTGGGAATAGCTTAAAACGCTCCTTCAAATAGCATCAGAGACAGAAGTTTGAGGATGACGACGGCAGAACAATCACAGAGGACAAGGTCAATTATCGTCAAATGATTTAGAAGTTCTACCTTCCAGCGTAACGCAGGCTAGCTCAGAGACCGAATGATATCCAAATGAAAACTCGGTGGTTTCAAAAAGATCACATACAGCAAGGGCCACACAATAATTATTATGAACGCAGTTTCTTGAAACTCTGATCTCTGTATAAATACATTGTGAGAGCCTCTCTGTTCAACAGATTTGACACCCCAGACTTTTTCTCCGGGGCTGCTTGAAGAACCATGTTTATGCAAATCCCAAGGCAAGAGACATAGAACAACTTAAGGCCAATCCAATGAGAAATTCAAAATACTCCACCTGAAACATTATCAAATGTGATGAACAATGTAGCAGAAAAGAGCAGCAGCAAACTGTCATCGAAATATGAGCAGGTCACATTGATCATGTAGTGTAAAAAGGGTTAATGCATCAAACAGGCTACACTGGACTAAAAACTTTGTATAGGGGAGAAAACGTTCATGCTTTATAAATATTGATTGGTTTATATGTGCTGTTGATATATTTTGGGGGTACATTTTTGAGACACCCTATGCACATATTCCGATCAGAATATAGCAATATTAATGGATGAAGAAGAAATTATTCTGATTTTATTCCAAACAACCTGGCCGGAATCTGTGGTAACATCGACGATTATTTAATTATCTTTATCACACCCTGATTCATCTTTTATCAAGGTGTATGAATTGTAGTGTCCAAGCTGTATATGTAGCATCAATGGTGCTTGCGTTTTGATAATATCATAAGGTGTTTCATTAAAGCTGAAGAGATGCCCACAATTGAGGCAGTTAGTCTGCAGGATTATGCCCCATCAGAATGAATATAGGCCATGTAGCTTCCAATGCACTGTCAGTGTCTGCATATATGACTTCCAATCTGAAGAGGAATGTTTTTTTACATACAATTGTAACAAAATCAATAAAAGTATACTTATCGTTTATATATATATTTATTATTCAACATCATGATTCTACAATTTGTTAATTGCTCACTGAATTGTTTCTGTTTAATCATGTCATTATTACATTTATTATGGCTTCATTTAGAGAGAATGATTAATTTCTTAAAAACATATCATGACATCGTACACTTTCAGTTTTTAAATGTTTTACATTAACTCGGGCAATAGCATGCACTTTCCGTTTTCAAGCTTCTGATATTTTTTCTCTGAAATCTAAGCTTTGAAAATACTCACTTCTTTTGTAAATCTTCCAAGACCTGACTGCCTGGGTGATCTTTCATGTAATTCTGGTAAGCTGACCAGGTTCTAACGTAGCCCACATACTCTGAGACAGTCCAGTGACGCTCTATACACAACGTATCTACCCTGGAATATATGAAGAGAAATGGATTTAATAAGGCTTCTCAAACCTTATAGTGTGTAACATGTAATATAATTTTATAAACTATTTTTTCTAAGTGATAATGTCAAATAGTTTGTGTCCGTTTCAATGTTGCTTCTACGTGATGCTTTATTGTATTATAAAAACCGACAAACATACTATAATCTATTTGGGAATATGTATTTTTCAACTGGATAAGCCCTTATGGTATCCTCACGTATTATGTACCTGATATATGGAAATGGCAGGTCTACATTTTTGTATTTTTCTTCGATGTATTTCCGCTGCGGATCCCAATAATCATGAAGTGCACCATTATAAAACTAAAACAAAAACCATCTACAAAGTAATGCCTTAAACCGGATGTATAGAAATGTATCCGTTCACCAAAAACGTTTGGATTGCACCAAATAGCATCATAATTCAAAAAATCTCAAAATTATGGATATAAAGTCTGCACTTTTGTCCATACCTGTTCATGTGGTACCATTGCAGCGTCTCTATTCAATATAGCATTACCATAACCGATCAATGCAAGGACGCCGTTGGGTTTTAAAATTCGCAGTGCCTCTCTATAAAATATCTTAGCGTCAAGCCAATGAAACGCCTGAGCACACGTTAGCAGGTCAACAGACGAATCGGCCTGAAAGCTTAGGTCTTCACCAGCATGAACTTCGAACGTTATACTATTCTCTTTAATAGTGTTCTGTGCGTTTAAGATTTGCGCCTTGCTTACATCTGTCCCTATGACTGCTTTAAAATGAGGCGCAAGTGTTTGTGTGAATTGACCTGATCCACAACCTACGTCGATAGCAAGGTCTTGGACAAAGTGTGGTTTCTCTCTGCAAAACTTGAGAACTGTTTCCAGGACCGATGAGGGATACGAAGGTCGGTGTTGTGCATAAATCCTTGCATGCGAAGCCTCTTCGAAAAATCTTTTCATTTCTGAATTTCAGTCTGGAAATATGATTGAAATATGATGAGATGGCTGTACTATTAATGACAAGTATTTATTTATAAATGAAAGTTCATTTATGATGTCCTGGATTTGACAAAGTTCATTTCAGTTGGTTCCAGAAAGGTCCATGTGCAGTATGGCAAGTGATTTTAGACCGTCATATCTTTCACCATGAGTACTTTCTGGGCATATAGTGGTTTTTATTGAAACAATATGTTTTCTTTCAAGTAAAGCCCCGGTGATGATAAAAAATATCAATCGAACAATTTGAAAAATTATAAATAGGGACCCCACGTCAACAAGTTTTTCAAAATGTTGAACTTATTTGCACAAATAAAGAGGATCTTCTTTTTTCCGATTTTCATTGCATGAAAACATTATTCAACAAGGGGTCTAAAATATCTTCAAAAGTAGAATGGTATTGAAAGTCTAGTTTTGAAGATATCAATCTTCGATGACCAAAATTATGCCAAAAACAATTCAATGGATAGCATCGCATTTCAATACCCATCCCCTTTTCAGAAGTTACTAAATATAGTGCAGAAGAAACTTTTGAAACATTTAAATTGAGAAAAACAAGATCCTCTTTTTTTTTAAAATAAGCCTAGCATTTTTTTTAAAGTGACAAGGAGGGGTCCTAATCCATAATTTTTAAGAGAGTTGGATTGATATTTTACTATCACGGGGACTTTACTTTAAAGAAAACATATTGTTTGAATAACTACCACTGTACCCAGAAAATACTCATAGTGAAAGATATGAATGTCTAAAATCACTTGCCATACTGCACATGGACCTTTATGGACAGTCATCGATGAAGCTCTATTTTGCTCATGTTTCAATAATGATGAAATGTAACTTGTGTATTAACTTATACCTTCATACCGGTTAGTGTTTTTACATAACTTTTTAAGTCCTCTTTGAGTAAAAGCAATGACACGTCGCAAAAAGTTACCAAACCACATATACCACGTTGTAGCTCCCATGTCCCCTAGGAATTCGAAATGTCTCTAGAAAAAGAGCCACCAAAATCAAAAGATCTGACCGCTTTTCCGCCATCTATTCGAATTTTCAACACTTTTCAACAGTTTTCAAACAGTCACAAAAAGTCAAATATTTGTAGTGAACCAAATAATTTCGTAATACTTTTTAAGAAATTATATACACCAAGGAGATAAACAAAATAAAATGTAAAGTATGTACATTTTCACTGGTGATTGCGTTGGATATCCATCAACCATTCGATCCCGGTTTTAAACATTAAGGGAACATGGGGCAAAGCGGCCCAAAAAATTTAATTTTAAGTTGTTCTGTACGGGGTATTTTCGTATCTGTCAATCATCGCGCACTTTGATGTTCCACTTTATTAAACCAAAATTAATCAATTACAAGACTCGTCCACAAACATCTTATCTCAGACGTTCAAACCTTTGACAGATTAAGTATTCTTAACCCCTACCATAATTCTAGTCATTCGATATGTGTCGGAAGGAAATAAGGCACAAGCCAGATGTTAAAATTGTTACATTTGAAAACCAATTGTTCTTGCACAATAAGATTTTTGTATGTTATAACATGTGTGGGCCGTTTTGCCCCAAAGACATGTGAATTTTCAAATAGACGTCATTTTGATTTGCCTAATATTTGAAGCTCGAAATTTTTACAAATAAAGAATAAATGTGCACACTCTATGTAAAATGTTAAATCAAAACGATATTCTATTGTTGCCGGATTTTTTAGAGATTCTCGTGAGAGGGGTAATTTCCAAAAAAGAGGGTGAAAAGTAGAATTACCTCTTACGTAAAGCGAGACGCTGCTTGGTTAAAAATGGACGGTCGAGAAGGTGGCAGATATTTCAAAATTCGATTTTGTGACTTTTGAAGAACCATCCCTATTTCGATGGGCCACTTTGCCCCAGAGGGCCGTTTTGCCCCATGTTCCCTATAGATTTTTTGTACTTCTACCTTTTCAACAGCGACATCTGTGGAGTTATCGATCCCCCAAAGCAGACGTTCTTATAACCAAAAAATGGAATCTCGCGCAGATTGCCTCTAGTGGAAGATTTGCATGTTTTTCAATTGAATTCATGGGGCCATTTAATTGTGGAGTTATCCATTTGCTTTCAGTGTACTGTCGCCTGTGATGTGAACATCCGGAATTTTTCTGCAAGGATCCCGGGGATCAATTCTTGAGGATACGATTTAACGCTCACCTCTACAGAGGAGACTGGTGCCACCCCGGAAGTGGCATCATTCTGTACAAGTATCAATCATCTAGAAACTGGCATACCTTACCTTACATTTGTAAACATTTCACATTGTTTATATATATTAACAGATTGAGATACTTTCTGATGCTTTGGTAGGAAAATTAGTAGGAACATTGGGAAATAAATAACTTACTTGAGCTCGTCCTACACGTAAATAGGGTGGGAGTTATGCGTCATAATCACGAACGTTCAGATTATCAAGATGCGAACGATGCGCGTTTGAATAGTTTGCTTTATTTTGAAAGGAATATTTTGTCAGTAGTGAAATAAAATGCGTTACTAACTTAGAGTTAAAATACATTTTCCTTGATTCTTAAGGCTATACTAACAAATATTATAACTCCGAGTTATAATTTCTACGCCTTCCCTGCGCCGCAAGGCGAGCGTAGTTTTTCTACGCTCGCCGCAGAAATTCACCGATTTAATTGTTCTGCGGTCGACTTGCGGCCGCCGTGCGACAAATGTGACTGGGGTGTTAATAGTAATGGTAAATCCTCGAGGGGCCGGATGGCAGTCTTGCATTTGGTGATTTGATCGCAGAACGTGTACGTGTATCATGCCCGTAGCCAGCTTTTTGTAAGGGGGGGGGGGGGGGGCTCGAACCCCCCCAGAACCCCCCCCAAAAAAAAAAATTCCCCATGCTAAACCAAAACGTCAAGTAATTCCCAAAAAGGCCCACTAAAGAGGCCCTACAATATTTTTGGGCCAACATTCTTTTCTGGGCCCATCCTTTGGCCACGCAGAAAACCTTTTAGGGCCCTAGAACCCAAATTTTGAAAATTTATGGCCCATTTTTTTGAAAATTTGGCCTCAAATTGAACAAAACAAGGCCCAAAAGTTCAAGTAAAAAGGTCAAGTAAAGGCCAACTAAAGAAGCACTACAATATTTTTGGCCCAACATTTTTTTCTAGGCCAATCCTAGGGCCGCGCGTAAAATTTTTAGGGCCCTAAAACCAAAATCCGGGCAAAAATTCTGAAAATTTTTGGCCCGTTTTTTAAAAATTTGGCCTTAAATTGAAACAAATCAAGCCCAAAAAGGTCAACTAATGCCCAAAGAGGCCCACCAAAGAGGCCCTACAATATTTTTGGGCCAACATTTTTTTCTGGGCCCATCCTATGGCTGCGCGGAAAACCTTTGCGGGCCCTAGAACCAAAATTTGGGCCTAAATTTTGAAGATTTATGGCCTGTTTTTTGAAAATTTAGCCTAGTATTGAAAAAATAAGGCCCAAAAAGGTCTAGTTAAGGCCAAATAAAGAGGCCCTTCAATATGCACAGTAATGAGCTTTTGAGTGAATCGACCGCAACTCGGAAAGCCTAGAACATGTCGAGTTAGGAATTATTTAGTCACTCAAGTCCAATCGGATAAATAAGTACATGTTCACTTAAACTATATATCTATACAAAGAAACATAAATAATATCGTTTTGGATTTTCAAATTAATCTTTAATATCGTGATAGGGGTTAACGTTGGTCAAGCTTATTGTATCTGTTTTAGTATAAAAATGCTGTAAAATGTATTGGAGCTATCAGACTCTTCAATAACAGAAATAAAACCTAGCAAAACTTAAATTAAGAACGTAGCCATTAAGTGAATTCCTAATGCCTTGGTCACATTTGCTCCGATTTTCACTACGGCGCCCGGCCGATTGAGTATTTTGTTCAAAATTGAATACAATATTGAACAAAACACTCAATTGGCCGGGCGCCGGCCGATGGATCGGAGCAAAGGTGACCCAGGCATAAGCTGAAATTGTAAATAATTACAAAGGAATTTAAAAATGGTTATTCGGTCGTATGTATTCACTTGGGTATTCTGTTCAAAAATGTATTCAATTTTGAACAAAATACTCAATCGTCCGGGCGCCGGCCGATGAATCGCAGCATTTGTGACCCAGGCATTACATAACATATGATTGGGGTAAATATCCCCAATTGCATTACATAATTACAATTATATATCGATATATTTATAGTTTTGTGGCAGGCTGCACCGCACAAAATTATAAATGTATCCATTCTTAATTTGGCTGATTTTGGTATAGCAGGCTGCACCGTATATCATGCATTACAATGACATACTCGTTTCTTTTGACGAAATGCTGAGGCAGGTCGCTCCGCTCAGCATTGTGTCAAGATTGCTTTATAGATGGCAGTTTTACCATTCTGTTATTGGAAGCCTATTCATACACGAGTAGGCTCATAGCATATGAGAATCGCTAAGTTGCCAAATGATATTTCATGTATTTTATGTATAGTATATGTATCTAAGTAATTGTAGAACCAAAATATATTCTTATTACTAGTATATCATATTGTAATAAAACGTGTATTGTCATTTTCATAAAACAAATATTTATGCGGTATACAGTCAAAGCCAGATCATTAGAAGTCATGTTTCAAGGGTTTAACCATTCAACCATTTCCATGTAATTGTCTATTTAATTGTACCTATGCTTAAACCTTCTATATTTTGCATATTTTTACATTTAGGAAGTGCTTAAAAATCAAGATCGGGTACCACATTGTTGTATTTAACTTAATGCGAAGTGAATCAAATCCCCGAATCCTGGAGGCAGGATTCAAGCAGTATTCATGCAGGATTCGCTGTTTAAGTAGTTTACAAACGATTCAAGCAGGATTCATATGTGAGGTAGTTTACAAATGAATCCAACCTCCAGGATTCGTGCAGGATTCACATGGAAGGTACTTTACAAATGAATCCTGTATCCAGGATTCAAGCAGGATTCATATGTAAGGTAGTTTATAAATGAATCCAGCCTTCAGGATTCGTGCAGGATTCATATGGAAGGTTGCAAATGAATCCTGTAGCCAGGATTCAAGCAGGGTTCATATGTAAGGTAGTTTACAAATGAATCCAACCTTCAGGATTCGTGCAGGATTCATATGGAATGTACTTTACAAATGAATCCTGTAGGCAGGATTCAAGCAGGATTCATATGTAAGGTAGTTTACAAATGAATCCAACCTTTAGGATTCGTGCAGGATTCACATGGAAGGTACTTTACAAATGAATCCTGTAGCCAGGATTCAAGCAGGATTCATAAGGTAGTTTACAAATTAATCCAGCCCTCAGGATTCGTGGAGGATTCATATGGAAGGTAGTTTGGGTTCGGGGAGAAATTTTGAAAATTTGATTGCATTTGAAGCTTTCTTGGGCGTTTTGAAAATACATTTTTAAAGTGTGGTGCATTTCAATATAACAATAAACTTTTCTCTCTAAATTTTGAGAGTACGCGTTGACGTTTATGCGTATATGACACTACGCCAGTGTGTGAGATAGATCACATGAATCCAGCCGAAATCAGAGACATATAAAACATTAAGGCCTGTCGAAATGAATCATGCAGGATCCATTTGCAAAATAAATTTAATTTGTTTTGACAATCTCATTTCTAAATCAAGTTTTAAACGCCAAGAATGCGTTACATTTCAGGTCTAAGGCCTACATGTACTGTACATTGTTGTATCTGAGAAAAAAGCCATGTAGATAAAGGATATAAATTACATTTTGAACTGACTGTAAAGTACAGTCATGTATCTCATACTTGAGTGGGTTTGGGGTAGATATCACCCGGGAATATATATCATATTTGAGGAGCGGGCAGGATATATTATATATGTCCCGCTCCAGGGCAAATGCGGGCAGATATAATATATCCATCCCACTCCCGGGAATTTTTCAAAAGTTTTAAAAATTTTAAAAAAATTAACATTTGAAAGTTTAAAATTTGTTAAAATGTTTAAATGTTACAATTTCATTGTATTGAACTAAAGGAATATTACGAAAATGTTAAATACAAGTTGTGCTTTTACAGTATAGGCCTATCTTGTCATTTGAAAAAGGTTGAACCCCAAACCCACTTAAGTATGAGATACACCAGTTATGTACGATCGGTTTTGGATATAGGGTATATCCCTCGGGACATATTTATATCTCTCCTTGGTCCCTTCGGTCCCTACGGATGATATAAATATATCCCTCAGGATATAACCTATATCCAAAACCTCCCAGTACATGACCCTTATATATATATATATATATTGCTGTAAAATACTTTACATACAAGGAAAGGTCACTTTACCGATCTCATATTTCTTGTTAGAACCCGGCAGAAAATAGAAAACTGTTTGGAAATAGTTTGCATTTTGAAGATTGGTTATCGTTTTTGCATTGACTTTTGACGATTTGGAACGCGCAGATCTACTTCAATGATAGTATTAACCACATCGGTACCATCAGAACTATCTCAATACAGAAGTTAAAGCATCATCATGATAAACCATGACATCTCATTTCTTCTCAGTCCTGGGATGCCATCATGATATAATGAGCTACGATTTGGCGTATCCTGTGTTCAGAGTCGAGTTATAAACTACCAAGCTCTCTTTTAAGATGTGAATTCAAGTCGAACGAATGCAAAGATTAGATTTGGTGATCTAGGAGAGTCCAAAATTGAGGATTTTGATCTTTCATTCCAGTTAGTCTCAGCTTTTTTTAACAAACAAATATATACATATTAAGTTCGAAAATACTCAAGTTACAAACAAAAACATATATTCAGCAAATACAAATATTTAAAGAGATCGAGTCGTCCAGATTTCTGATTTCAGTAATGTCCCAATATAATTGCTTATAAAACATCATATTGACCTTAGATATATCTTGAGGCCTTATCATAAGTACGATATCACCAATATATTGAGGATATCAACAGGACAACCAAAAGAACAACCAACTGTCAGAATTGAACGCAACAAGTCGAAAGCAGAATACAGTGTTTTTTTGGATTTATCCACATTGTAACCCCTTAGAAGTAATACATATGGCTTCTCTAAGCCGAAATAATCTGAAGGAAGAAGCCAATCAGACTGGAACAAATTTGAGCGGGCTTTTTAAATTTAAATTTGAATTTCTATTGATGTAAGTGGAAATTCATGGCTAGGAACAATCATCGAATTGATACTGTTAACGAATTAATTGAAGCCTCTGAATTGATAAGTTGATAAACATAAACTTGTTTTACATCAAATAAAACGAAAAATCAGGGGGTTACTCTAATTGTGTTTTTAGGAGACCCGATTTCTTTAATGTACAAAGTTTTCTTCAATTTACCCATACATATCCCAAAAATACGAATAATGTAGCTGGAAAAAGGTCAACACTAACTTCAAAATCACAAAAGCAATGACGTAGTTTTTAGATTCACCCTGTCATACGTGCTCATGACAATACTATCAGTTATCACACGTTTCAGCATGTGATACAGGAAATATTCCACGAAAGGTAATACTGTATCATCCACGAAAGCGAAGCTTGAGTGGTGATGCATCAGGGTTCGTACACCTTTTTCAAAATAAAATTCCCTGACATTTCCCTGACATTTCCAGACAAAAAATGAAATTTCCAGATCTAGTTTTGCTTGCACGGCCTACTAAAAAGTCTCAAATAACTGTATTTTTTGGCTCACACAGTGAGCCTATGGGATCGACCAGGCGTCCTTCCGTCCGTTGGTCCGTCCGTCCGTCCATCAACATTGGCCGCACGATTAAAACTGCTATTCGGATTGAGTCATATCCACATTCATTTTATGCATATCCATAATGCCTATTTGACCTATCATCGCCATTTCCCAAGTTCGCCCAGTTTCCGAGAAATTACTGATTTTGACGTCAAAAAGTCAAATTTTCTGTAAATACTAGACACTTTGTTGAAGTAGAACTTTCAAATAACTTGTAGTAGTTGCTGTATATGCAACTTATGTCCTCTGAAGATTTCAAAGCTCTTGGAATTACAGTTTTTGGTGTTTACTCTATAAAATTTGACAAAAAGTAGGACTTACTATAGTCATTTTCAGGAAACTTCCTCATGTATAAAATCAATGGCAGGTTTTGTGATTGACAAGTTTCTCAAAATTTCCCTTATACTTGATCATTTCTTGCAATGAATTATATCATTACTAGATTTAAGCATTCCCTACATTGCTCAATATATGTCAGCATCAAATTTTTACCGTTTTTGAGATATTTGACGTAAAAAAACAGTAAAAATAAGTTATTTTTCAACTTGCTTCGATTTGTAATCATCTAAAAGTTGCCAGGAGTTCAAATCTGACATTAATCTTAGGATTTGACCTTTACTTGACCTTAAGCGACCTTCGAAAGGTCAAAAAAGTTGGTTTTCAAATTTTTGAATGTAAATTTTGGTCAGCTTAATCACAAAAGACCTTACAGAGCTCTGAATAAGTAAAATTTTCAAGGTCATCAAACTAGGTCACACAACTGTGCAAAGTTTCTCAAAGTTCAAGACTACCAATACAAATCAATATTTTTAGTACCATTTCTCATGACTTCATCAAGGAGAATTAGATCCCAGGATCGAAACTCGATATTTTCTAACAATGAAAATGTCAAAATGTTGTTATTTTCTGAAATTATAACTGATTATAAATTCACAATAAACAGTCAAGAAGATTCGAACCAATATCTCAATCATCTCTTGTGAGTTTTGGAATTTTTCGTTAGGAAGATAAGACCAAAATTCATGATATGGGACAGAATATCAATGTTGCCCTCTAGGAGCCAATCCTCCTTGTGACTATACTTCTTAAGCAATTCACCAATTTATTCCTGAAATTTTTCATTTTACATTGTATAAGGCCAAAGGTAAACATACGCTCCCAAATATACATGTACAGGGGCGTAGCCAGCAAATGTCAACAGGGCAAGGGGATGCAATTTCTGGGTTTTGCATCATTGCAAGCGAAGTTAAACCCAAAAGGGGGTAGGCGGGTTCACCCACGGAAATTTTTGAGAATTTACATTGTATATGGTGCATTCTAAGCATTTCAAACTATAATTTGTTAATGTTTTGTAATGAATCCGAATGACAACAGAAACTTGAAAATTTCCACCTAATGAAACATACTTTATCAAATACTGATCATTGTCTTCTCTCTTTTGGGAAAATCTGCACCAAAATATGATACCATATTAGAAATTCCTTCTCAAATAGCATCACTATAAGGCACAGGCCTATGATAGTACCAAATCAATTTCATAAAAAAATGTTGGCCATTTTGAATTCAGAGACCATCTTGAATATTTCTTCTTATGCACATTGGCATATAAAATTTGAGCCAATGTAAAACTCTAGGTTCATCTTTACATAAAAAAGGTTCTTCTTTTGATTCTTGGTTATTTCCTCCTCTTTCCTTGAAATTTGGACCAAATAAGGTTTTCAATTTTTTTCAGGAAAAATAGCAAAATGGTAGAAATTAACTTTGAATGGCCCAAGACTACCTTACTTCATGGAAAACCATAATTGGATTGAACCATCTATATATAGAATCTCATTCAACCAACACTAGTAAAAAGATTTCCAATTTGTGGGAACAACTAAATGTTAGATTTTGGATTTCATTGATATCCTGTCATAGCTCTAAAATGTATTTTGCTGCAACATTATTTATTCTGATACAAAATTCCCTGACATTTCCCTGACATATCTACTTTGTCAAAATTCCCTGACATTTTTGGCCCTTTTTGACCCAATTTTAAAATTCCCTGACATTTCCAGCACCTGGAAAAATAAATCAATTTCCCTGACATTTCCAGGTGTGTACGAACCCTGTACATTGTTACCCGAGTGGAGTGGCAACAGGATGGTGCAAAGGCCTGTAGCAGATCGTTTGGTAGAACTCTTTGGAAATCAGAAGATAGCATTGAATTACCCAATGGATTGGCCCCAAGTGTCATCCCACTTTACACCCTTGATTTTTTGAAGGGCCTCTGAAAGCGCTTTACAGGATCACTAACGGACCTAAATGAACTTCTGCAAAAATAATTGATGGAATCAGTGTGATATTGCAATGCATGTGCGCATGGGCAAGGGTAACTAAGATTTGCTTTGTCGAACATGTTGAGGAGACCACATGATTATGCGGATAGACCCATGGCCAATGATCATATGTAAGACAAATAGGAAAATTACAGTATGACTGAGTTAAAGGTCAAACTTCTACTCAGAAGAAAGTAAAATGGTAAAGAAACTGTTCCTCTTTTGTCATTTGGTCCATCCAATCACTTAGAAGTTGGCGCAAGTCAGATTTTACCATGGGACACTAAAATCTGTCCTGTGAAGCCAATCAAGGACAGATTTTGAATCTGATAGTATCAAATTAAAAAGTCAAAATTATGAAAGATATTGAACTTTTTGTAAGTGTAACATCTTTTGAGACACACTGTATTATAAATGAAAACGCAATGCATATTTCGACCAAACTGGAAGACCACTAAAACATAACTTTTCTCATTTTGTGAAATTATTTATGGACTGGACATATCAACTCATAATTACGATAATGTCCGGTATCTTGTAACTTTGACTAAAGTTTACCCAGAAGCTCTAATTTTGACTCAGCTAGTAATACAAATCAACAGAAAGACCTTTTAATGACAAAAACGTATATTTTGACATCTGAATCTATATATAATAGGATTTTATTAGTACTGGTGCCCTTTTAGGGCCAAACGTACATCCGATATCTCCCAACAGTTATATTAATACCCAACTTGTGAAGTTAAATAAATGGAAAATAATAATATTTACACGCAACACGAATTGTTATGTTTACTTCACAACAAGCAGATCTAGGGAGTAACACAAATACAATTTTCAATGACAGTAAATATAGCAATAAAGTAAAGAAAATAGGATTACATTCTTCTAATGACATATAAAATGTTACTTTGGTACAAGAATCCTGTCTCTACCAATCATTAGATAATTATTTATCATGTCATTTAATATGATCCCTTCAATCGTCAATAGCAAAATTGTCTTTTGTTGGTCATTCATGTTTTTAAAATTTCTACACAGGTTTTCAAGTTTTTCAATATCAGAATTTCTGATATACTCCAATTTTTCCATTTGAATTAAAAGTGTGTTTCATCTTCTATAACCTAGTCCTTCCATATTTTACAAAATCGACTAAATCGGCCTCTCTCTATCTGTAGATTGTGGGCGCTTACGTAATCTAGTTACAGCTGTATAAATGTTTTAGCGTTTGAAAGTGTCGTTTCTGAAAGGTAGTGTTCAAATCCAAAGTGCGATTTTAGGTGTAAATAATCCAAGCTTCCCCCCATTCCCACTTATCAGATTCTTCCAATTAATATATTTGATATCTCTCAATTAATTTCTTTTTTGACTTTAATAGCAAGCTTATTTGTGCTCTTCTCTATGTTTACCTTATCTTCAAGATTTAATTCATCAGACATTTTGATTTTAAGTATGGCAAAGTATATTTTTGAGTTGTTTGTGCCATGTGAATGTGTTATTTGTTAAATCAAATGTTTTACTAATGTTTTGATGAATCTAATGTTTTTTAATTTCTATGAATTTTGATAATTATACTGCTTTGTACAGTCTTTCCAATTTGCTTCAAACGTCAGCAGTCATTGAAGTAAAACATGAATATCACAAACGTTAACTTCTCAAATTCTGACCTCAATCGGTTAATTGTCATGTTTCCTTCACGACAATTGATCAATTATATTTGCCTTAGGCGACTGATTAACATACTCTATCTTAACAAAAGATGGGGTCAGCTATGAGAGAACATAAGGACACATAAGTAATTACAAGAAGAACTCCAGTATATTCATTCATATTAGTACACTTTATAGCATATGTAAAGTGAGTTTGAAGAGTGTCATATCTCTTCAGTACATTACAGGAATATTTTGATTTTAACAACATTAACCAATAAAGGAAACCTGGACAACAATTGACTTCTACTTCAAGTTTGAACTTCACGATAAAACGTACTAGGTGCTAAAGCAAACAATTCTAACTTGAAAAGAGATTTATGGTATCTCACTGTCGCATGATATATTTGAGTATCCCTATAAAGTTGATATGCACAATAATCCATAGTCGTAAACAAAAAGAATTGTTTTACATTGTGCGGTACTTATTGAGTTATCAAAACACTGTCTCAGAATCCTTGACTATTTTCTGAGTGATATTCAGCAATGACTGATGTGCAGTTTCAAAAGTTTAAGTTTTATTTATAAACTAGATTATATTGTATACGTTGTTCCTAGATACTAAATATGACGTGTGTTACAAAACAATCATATAGAGAGGTTCATTCATTGACAGGTTCTGTACCTCCTTCAAAATATGTCATGAAGTTTTGGACATTTTTATATTATTAACAGACTTGAACAACGATTTGAAACGTGATAACGAGAGTCAAAACGTAACGAATCAGGTAAAACTCGATCGAGTCGATTTACGACGTACATGTGTGTCTCAAGGAGCTACCTGAAACTGGAAGGGGAATATGATACCTAGTAGAATGGGAACTTATCTGTCAGAGACTATGTGAATGCACACAATGATATAGCAAAATCCTAAAATCTTAAGACACCTTTACAAACTTACATTTCGGATTAAGAACTGGTTTAATAACTACGTCGGTTATAATAGCACACCATTTTACATATATAAACATACATAATTCCGAGGAAATTGGGTTGACGTGAACATAGAGCTGTATCTGCGACTATTCGAACACAGAGTATCAGATGATACCAAATGTCCATAATTTGCCTGATTTAAAATGGAAAATATAGCAGCATAATATATAGTGTATGGATGACTATAACACGCGACACACGGATACTGAGTTTTTCTTTTGGAATTATCCTACTCTAATAGCAAGCAATAGCTATCCAAGTTTAAAAAGGAATCGACGAATCGAACAAAACGAAAGGGAAACATGACTGACATGGTGACATTCCACTGGGCTGACTATTTAGTCTTCTCCGTAGTTCTACTAGCATCTGCCCTCATTGGGGTATACTACGGATGTACGGGCAAGAAACAATCCACCAGCGATGAATTTCTACTTGGGGACAGACAAATGCCTTTATTTCCCGTCAGTATGTCGATGGTTGCAACTTTCTTCTCGGCCGTTTCTGTTCTTGGCGCACCATCCGAGATATACAACTATGGGACTCTCTACTGGTTGTGGGTCATATCTTTTTGGATTGCACTCCCCATAACTGCGCATGTGTATTTGCCTATATACTATGACCTAAAGTTGACAAGTGCATATGAGGTAAGACAAAATGAATCAGATTCAAGATATCCATCGTGTCCCATATTCTCTTGCTCACACTCCTGCTTCACTGGAAGTATGGTTTGATAATATGACACATCTTTTTTTATTTCATATTATTTTAGCACTTAGATCTCTTTGTTCAATAAAAATGATGATACTTGTATATCATGACCGCCACCAGATATATGCACAGGCCAAGGTGATCAATCCTCACAAAGGAGGAGATAAAGTATCGCAATAGATTTCGGACAGTCATATATTGGATTTTGGCTATTTTCTGAGGATTGAAACAGGTGCAGCAGATGTTAGACCAATGCATTACCTCCAGGAAAAGGAAAATAATTTCGAGTTTGAGACAGGGAATATGCAAACAACCAACCCACATGTTTTTCTGAGATGTTTTCGTTTTTCAACCCCTTCCACCCCTGGATTTTTTAATTTTCTTGCATCAATATGTTGTGTTTTGACACACAGTTCACCCCTTTAAAGGAATAAATGATTCTCACGGGGTTTTTAAAGATATCTATTATGGGTGACCAAAATTAGCTGAAAGCAATGCATTGCATGAGTTATCCCTATGGGAAAATAATATGGGAAATATTATTTTCCACTTTAGCTAAAGGGAATCACTTACTGCATTAATAGAGATTTGGTCCAAGTTTGTTTTAAACGACACGGAAAATGATTTAAATGACATAACCTTATATATCAAAATTATTATTGTGGAAAACTTTTCACTGGATTCAAATATGCTATTAAAAAGGAAGAAAAATTAGTTGTTAGAGGATAAAAGTGCAATCTCATAAAATCTCATGAAAACGAGAATTAGCGAGATTTCAAAGCTATATTTAAGCTTTTCTATTGGTCATATGGACAAACTACCACAAGTGCGCATACTGCAAGGATTTTACAATGACAATACTGCTTTTAGGGGAATCTAAACAGAAACATCGAAAAAATGATAAAAGGTGTTTGAAAACTTGGATATCTATTGCTTGCTATTAGACTAGGATAATTTTACAAGAAAAGTTAAGTAGACGCGTGTCTCTACATCCATCCATACACGTAATATTAAGTTTTTCAAATATTAAAGGTGATTTCAAGGTTATTTTCCTTTCCAGCCTTTAGTCTCATAATTAATATGAATATCTAGGTCTTATGCTAACCGATTTCTAAAAGAATATTTCAAATTTAAATACATTAAAAGGAAAGCCTAGAACATGATGAATATCATCATGACCATAGAGGAACATCAAAATTAAGGACAAACATCTAAACTATTGACAAATGAAAAATGTTGAATCCTTTTAAAGCGTAAAGGGTAATGCCTGGGTCACATATGGTGCGATTCATCGGCCGGCGCCCGGCCGATTGAGTATTTTTTCCAAACTGAATTCACTTTCGAATAAAACACTCAATCGACCGGGCGCCGGCCGATGAATCGGAGCAAATGTGACGCAGGCATAACGCATATCAATTAGCAGATTCCGGAATAACACAAAATCAAAAATATGCAAATCAGGGTGTAAGTTGCACTTCATGTGCAGTACAAGGGTATATAATACAAGGGACCGTCTCAAAGGTATAACTAAAGCTTTTTATAAGTACTCAACTAGAAAGTCTTAATCACTATCACTACTTGAATATGTTTCGAGATTGATTATTACAGGATCAATTTCCTCAATAAGATAGATATTTTCTCTTACCCATCTCTAAGTAAATTGAATACAACTTGATTTGAAATTATTCCTGGGTATATGTACAATCAACATTAGTTGATTTGGGATTACATAATTGCATTGTTTATGAAAACCACAGTGGTCAATCCATGCATAAATCTATTTTATTGCGTTTGAGTCACGTAGTACGAATTAGCAAGAAAATGATTTCTATTTGGTCGTTTAACGTTATGAAAATAGAACGGTAATTGTAAATGCAGTAATATGCCTTGGTCACATTTGCTCCGATCCATCGGCCAGCGGCCGGCCAATTGAGTGTTTTGTTCAATATTGTATTCAATTTTGAACAAAATACTCAATCGGCCGGGCGCCGAAGTGAAAATCGGAGCAAATGTGACCAAGGCATTATTGAGTGAATGTGTATGTGTTAGTGAATAAGATCACTTCGGTGCCTATGCCTTGGTCACATGTTCATCTATGGTAATGGTGATATTAATCATGTTCTAAGCTTTCTTTTTAATGTATTTAAATTTGAATTATTCTTTTAAAAATCGGTAAGCCTAACACCTAGATATTCATATTAATTATGAGACTTAAGGCTGGAAAGGAAAATAACCTTGAAATCACCTTAATATTTGATAAACTTAATATTACGTGTATGGATGGATGTAGAGACACGCGTCTACTTAACTTTTCTTGTAAAATTATCCTAGTCTAATAGCAAGCAATAGATATCCAAGTTTAAAAAGGGAATCGACACATTTTTCTCAAATCGATAAGATATAAAGGAAAACACGACTAACATACATTTATAGTAACTTTCCACTCGGCTGACTATTTAGTCTTCTCCTTAATTCTGCTAGCATCTGCCCTCATTGGGTTATACTACGGATGTACGGGCAAGAAACAATCCACCAGCAATGAATTTCTGCCTTTACTTCTTTGTTTCCCGTCTGTATGTCGATGGTTGCGACTTTCTTCTCGGTCGTTTCTGTTCTTGGCGCACCATCCGAGATTTACAACTATCGGACTCTCCTACTAGTTGAGTATCATCTCATTTTGGATTGCACTCCCCATTACTGCGCATGTGTATTTGCCAATACACTATGACCTAAAGTTGACAAGCGCATATGAGGTAAGACAAAATGAATCAGATTCAAGATATCCATCGTGTCCCATATTCTCTTGATCACACTCCTGCTTCACTGGAAATATGGTTTGATAATGACACATCGATCTTCTTCTTTTATTTCATATTTTTTTTGAGATCTCATTTTTGCACTAAGATTTATTTGTTCAATAAAAGTTATATGATATATTATGATTGCCATCAGAGATATACACAGGCCAAGGTGATCAATCCTCACACATTTTACGACCCTTATTCAGGTAAACAAGAGCTGAAAACGAGATGTCATGTCGATGAATTTTCCTTAATAAAACACCTACCTGAGACAAAATTCTGGGGAGATCAATCCCAGAATAAAACTCAATGGTACAGAGGTTAAGGCCAATGATTGGCTTTTACCTGTGTACCCTTGAGTGTTACTCCGGAATAGCACCTTAATACTTATCAGTGAGCAACATCCAAAAACGAGCGTTCGATTTGCTAATTGATATGCATTAACCTGCTTCCTGGTCAACTCAACCCCAAGTCAGCTCAACCCAAGTCAACTCAACCCTTAGTTAAATCGACCCCACGTCATCTCAACCCTTAGTCAACTTGACCCCAAGTCATCTCAACCCTTGATCAACTCAACCATTAGTCAACTCGAGTTGAGTTGAGTTGACCAAGGGTTGTGATGACTTGGGGTCTAGTTGACTAAGGGTTGAGCTGCCTTGGGGTCGACTTGACTAAGGGTTGAGTTGACTTGGGGTTGAGTTGATCAGTTACCGATTTATCAATGCCTCAACTAGGCTGGAATATGGGAGCTTTTCTCATTCGCAAATTGCTTTAATTTATTGATGATTTACAAAAGCCAGTGGATCTTGGAATAATTAGTTCTCTGACCCTACTATCACACCAAACTAGTTCTCACTACGTTCTCGAAAACGGGCTTAAACTGTGCACGAACGGATTTGACGTACTAAGAACCCACTAAGAACCGTTTGGGATCTGATTACAAACTTCATGAAACTACTAGAACGAGTAGGTCCTCCAGCACTTAGAGCATGCTCAACATTTTCTGGTGATCATCAAAACGTTGCCGAATCGGTTTTAAACTGTGTGCGAACTGAATGAACGTAGCTACAACGTTCTACGGTCTGTTTACGAACTTCATGGACTTTCCCGGACGGGGTATGTGATTTAGAATTTTGAATCGATTCAAAATTCGATGGCGACCATACCGTTCTGTAATCAGGTCATGATGACCTTCTAGACTAAGGGACGGTTTATACTACGTTGCACACCGACGTGGTGCGACCTGAACGAACTTCGAACGTGATGGACGTATTGAAGACTGTTTATGAACGAAGTAGCTAATTATTTTAGACATATATCCCGACCGCAGCCAGATCGAGCCCGTTTTACGACATTTTCGTAGGACTGGCAAGAACGGGTAAGAACTAGTTTGGTGTGAATGGGGGGGGGGTGACATTTCTAAGATTTACATCTTCATTATGATTTCTATGTTGGTCAAAAGTTCTTTGGAGATAAGAAGGGATTATTTTATTTCTCACTTTATACATGATATTTAGTGTTTTTCATTTCTCCTAGTCAAATGATCATTCCAGTTCAGAGATTTAAATAATTTGATTTTTGAAGTTCCTTGAATACACCCATTTACTAGTAGGGTATGCAGCTCTAGTGGCTTTGTTCAAGTTTTGTTAGATCATATTTAGTTGCTTTTTCGAGTAAAATACTTCCACATTCAAGTTCAGGAAGTACAAAGTAGGAGTACATTTCTTCAAGATGTTTGGATCCAACGTTGTTTTTAAAGTTTTAAAAGAATTCGACATTGTATTACATTTGTCAATAGTTCCGTGTTTATGTGAGCTTAAAGTGTTCATCTATATATGGTCGTGAATCATGATATAGTTTATCACGTTCTTAGCTTTTTCAATGTATTTAATACCGAGTGAGTATTTTAAGCATAACACCTAGATATTTATATTCATTGTTTCCCATAAGATTGGAAAGGTAAATAACATTTAAATCAACTTGATATTTGATAAACTTAGTATATATTGTATGGATTGATTAGGAGACACGCAGCAACTAGACTTCTCTTTTGGAATCATCCTACTCTATTAGCAAGCAATAACTATCCAAGTTTAAGAAGGAATCGACGCATTTTTCTCAAATTGATTAGATATATAGGAAAACATGACTGACATGGTAACATTCCACTGGGCTGACTATTTAGTCTTCGCCTTGGTTCTACTAGCATCTGCCCTCATTGGGTTATACTACGGATGTACGGGCAAGAAACAATCCACAAGCGATGAATTTCTACTTGGAGACAGAAAGATGCCTTTGTTTCCCGTCAGTATGTCGATGGTTGCGACTTTCTTCTCGGCCGTTTCTGTTCTTGGCGCACCATCCGAGATATACAACTATGGGACTCTCTACTGGTTGTGGGCCATATCTTTTTGGATTGCACTCCCCATAACTGCGCATGTGTATCTACCAATATTATATGACCTAAAATTGACAAGCGCATTTGAGGTAAGACATGATGAATCCGATTAAAGACATTCATTGTGTCCCATGTTTTCTTGCTCCCACTCCTGTTTCACTGGAAACATCTGATATGAAGAGTTGAAACTGTCATTAAGAGCGATGGTCATCATCTTTTTTAACTAAAGTCTCTTTCTTCAATCATTTTCTTTTAATTGAATAAAACATGAAATAATAGATTTTACAAGGCAAAGATAAAATATTAAACCACGTTCACACCACCTCCATCCATTCGAACATTCCCAACAATCATACCCAACAGTTCTGGTATATACATAAAAACATAGTATTTTCGAATTGAGTCTCGTCCAAGTTGGGGTGTACCTCATTACATTGTTTTGCACATATACAATATTTGATTGTTAGTGAAAGCCTATTTAGCAAAATGTTTTCATTATTTACAGATCTTCCGAACACAATATCATGGACATTAAAATCAAAATTTAAATTAAATCGTTTCTTTAAATTAGCTTTCAAGAAAATCTGAACCCGCCTACACTCCCAAAACATGTGCTTTAAAGTGTCTCTTAGTGGACAGTAACTACATTTAGCATCCTGTTCAATTCCTATCTGCGTTAAGCATTTACGAAGCTGTAGTGTTCTGGGAACATGCGCTCTTTGATAGGCAAAATAAGAGTAAAACAACTAAGTAGGTTAGTTGTTGGCATGATGACTTAATTTCATTATAAATCACATAATGTTGTGTAACAATACTTTTTGCCGATAGGGCTAACAACCAAGGGTGGTGGTTTTTGTGGTACATATACCATGAAAAATCGTAAATTGGAGTTGTCGAATTTTATTTTGTTTCGTGCAACTATAAGTCATTCTATATAAAGTAGTCTGTTCTTTTTAACTCACAATCATGTTTATCTTTATACAGTGCTTCCAAATATTTGTTTCTATTTATTATTTTTTGAATTGACTTTACTGTTAAACCATTCAATGACACTGGTTTTTCGCCAAGTGCTAAATGCACAAGATCCATCTGTAGGCTTGGTTCAAAGACAGAAGTTAAGTCTCGCTTCAATAAGTGTTTCCACTCATTTGGCGCAGCTGATATTATAGCATACTCATCAATAAAATTGATTTGTACGTTGTATTTTGCCTTAAAATCAAAATACATGTACTGTAAAAAGTTTCCCTGGTCGTTTCTAAGGAGGTCATTTACGTAAATGACCATAAGATGTTTACTTATTACCTCTTTGTTATTAATTAGGACCAATCTATTATTCCAGAGTAGTTCACTTTTAACTTCGTCAGAACTAGTTTTTGGAGCTAGTATATTCCTTATATCAGAGTAAAGGAGGAGGGAAATTAGCGCAACAGATTTTGTACAGTCATATGTTGGATTTTGGCCATTTTCTGAGGATTTAAACAATTTCATATGTTAGGCCAATGCATTACCTCCAGGAAAATCACTTCTAGAGATGATAAAATAATCTCGACTTTGAGACAGGTTAGATGCAAACAACCCACCCACATGATTTTTCTGAAATGTTTTCCTATTTTTCGACCCCTTCCATCCCTGCTTTTTTAATTTTTCGTGCATCAATATGTTGCATTTTGACACATAGTTAATCACTTTAAAGGAATAAGTGATTCCTTCAGGGGTTTTAAAGATACCCATTATGGGTGACCAAACTTAGCTGAAAGCAATGATTTTTCCTATGGGAAAATAACATGGGAAATATTGTTTTCCACTTTATCTAAATGGAATCATTTATTCCTTTTAAGGGATCAACTGTGTGTCAAAACGCAACATATTGATGCAAGAAAAATTAAAAAAGCAGGGATGGAAGGGGTTGAAAATCAGGAAAACATTTCAGAAAAAACATGTGGGTGGGTTGTTTGCATCTACCCTGTCTCAAAGTCAAAATTATTTTATCATCTCTAGAAGTGATTTTCCTGGAGGTAAAACATTCGCCTAACATATGCACCTGTTTAAATCCCCAGGAAATGGCCGAAATCAAACATATGACTGTCCAAAATCTGTTGCGCTAACTTCCCTCCTCCTTTGTAAAATAGTTGAGTAAAATTCTGTCACGTCGTGAGCTATTGTTTTAATATCCAAATTACATTGTACCAGGTATAAAGAACTTAATTCCCCCAAGTGGTTTAAAGTACAATTTTGGAATATGTTTCCAATGTCACGGTTCAGTTTATAGCCACATCAGTTAAAGTGCTTTTATCATAAATAAAAGTTACAAGATATATTATCATCGTCATGAGATATTATATACGTACACAGGCCAAGGTGACACAAGCCTCACAAATATTACGACCCTGGACGACAAGAGCTGAAAGCGAGATGTCATGTTATTTCGATGAGTTAAATACATCATCGTTTATCAAAGTTTGATCTCATCAGTTGAAATTCTTTTCATGTATTCAATCAAATTCCTGATTTTTATGACCACTGAAAAACACAGAATCCTGTGGACCAGTATGCCATTACAATGAAATTATGACTGCATTAATAAGATGGAGTTTGAGTATTTTTGAGCCTTCTCTAGGCCATCATTCTAGCAATTTGTCAGTATAGCTACCACGAGCCAACACTGCGAATGGCTTACAATTTAATGCTGCTTTCAGGAAAATCTAAACACAAAACACAAAATGATTAAGCGGTTTGAATTTGAATTCAATAATTGTTTTGATCATTGCATTGGAATCAGACTATTGATATTAAGAAGCATTTTCATTTAGGTAAATATTCGGGCTTCTATGCAGTGTATATTAAAGTGTCTAGAAAAGGGGTTGTTTATTTGATCTCTAGTATTCTACACGGTAACCTTTTTGTATGTACGTCATGGCAGGCATTCTAATGGCACGACAACCATAACTTACTACATTCATCATAATATTTATCTGAGCATTTCATTCAAATTTATGACTATTCAGAGAGTTGAATAGACGTAATCCTGTTTTTGCAAATGTGATCAAAATCAAAAAGGCCAAAACTAGTCATAAAGCTGGTGTGATGATTTGGAAATTAAAAAACATTATATTATGCCATACAGTGTCGCGAAACTGACGGACAATTGACCGAGAGAAAATCTTGATAGCTAACCCGAAACAATTTAATATATAGGCAATCCCGATTAAGTACCTGAAACGCTGCTGTCTCATTATTTAGCTTTTGAGATTAAGCATATTTTATAAAATTTCATAAAATTCGTGCAAATTAACTCTAATATTGTTTTTTGTTTCTGAGTCAATCTGGCTGAAATTTTAACTCAGTATCTCTACAGTATTCATAATAAAAAGGTCCTTGAGGAAAAAACTTAGTAACAAATTAGATATACGAGAATAAGAGTTAATATAATAACCATTGAAAAACTACATTTTATTTTTTTCATTTCTCAAAATAATAATTCGAAATCAGATATGTGCATGGCAAAAATCAAATGATATATCAAAAATATTAATTATAACCAATGTGTTGAAAGACACAAATATTAGACAAATTGTACATGCATAGTAAAATTATTTCATTTTATCATTTTATGGGTAACACATAATTACCATCCTTTTGGGATTTGGACCCAAACATATTTTTCATATAGGTTGGTAAATATCAATGTGCTGCAATCCGGGGCCATATCTTAACCGCAAACAAAACTTTGAACGAAAATAAATATAAATTTTCTTTCTCCTTTTCCCAACAAGATCAGATTTTAAAATAGTTTTTAACTAAGAAAGTCTGGAATCTGGTGTCCTGAATTTCACCCATCTATCTATGTGTTCTTCATTTTCAGTATCTTGATAGACGTTTCAATAAGGTTATACGCATCATGGGAATCATTACATACACGTTCCACATTGTAAGTATTCGATGGATAATGTAATGAGTTCACTAATTCTAGTCAAAACACCGGCTAGCTTCTCCAAATGCTGGTTTCGCATTATTACATTAATTCAAAAGAGGAATTATGAATTCACATGTTGTTCATGTTACTCGTACATATTTTTGAAGTTAATGATTTAAATATTCAATATTCATGTAAGTGTGTGGAGAGACATCATTATATTTTACCTGAGAGGCAAAAAGTGTCAAGAGTCGAGACCCTATCCTCCTCTTCGAGGAAAATAATATTGATTTTTGGACTCTCAATTGTTAGAGCTACAGTACTAAATACGTATTGATTTGTTTACTTTCAGCTCATATATATGTCAGTTATATTATATGGCCCATCTGTAGCATTTGAGTTAGGTAGGTATTCACTTTGATGTTCTTTATGCTTTCAAATTTCCTTATTGCAGAAGAACCAATCACGATATCTGTAAACTAGATTTCCTTATTTCATTTACTAAGAAATTGATTGGACTGCAATGCATTTGTTGTCGTAAATAGACGACATGCTCGTGCATCATGCGAATCCTACCACATATTTCATGTTTTGATTGAGAAGGTGTGCAGTTTGTAAATAAATAATTTTCTTTATTTTCAGTAAGCAAGTTGCCATACTGGGCAACCGTCCTTCTCGGGGGATTTGTATGTCTCTTCTACACGTCATTCGTAAGTTGATGTATAGAGTGCCTTGTCCAAATATTTTAACAAATATATGATCATGCTTATCATCACGGATCAAAGTATAGCATTAAAACCAGTGGCATGGTTTGTAGAATGTTTTATTTAAAATTGCCTCTTATAGCCTCTCAGAAATCAGAATACCACAACGTAATGTCATCTTAATTTACAAGGTGTCAGTTGTTCCTATCTCAACGTACTTAAACATGCAACTCCAAATTGTCGTCTTCAGGGAGGAATGAAGGCAGTGCTGTGGGCTGATACACTGCAAGTGGCAGTCATTCTAATAGGTATCCTGGCACTTATTATACAAGGATGCATCAACCTGGGTGGAGTAGGAGAAGCTTTCAGAATCGCTAATGAAAATAGAAGAATCGAATTCTTCAAGTAAGTATTTTGATTTACTAATGGTGGGAGAACGATTCGTACACATACTAGGTATATACCCTGACATAAATCTATGTCGACCAACAGCTATGGAGTTGTTTACAATAGTGATACGGTACGATAATAATATTCTTAGTGTTTTTGGCAATAAAGAATAGTCCGTGAAATATTGTGTTTTAGTTGGAATCCAGACCCTACGGAGCGCCATACAACATTGACTGTAATTATAGGAGGAACGTTTACAGTGTTAGTAATATATGCAGGAAATCAACAAATGATACAGAGATATCTTACGGTGGATACAAAACGAAGGGCGCAGATGTAAGTAGATCAAAAAACTAGTTAACACAAGGGATTCATGCAGGTTTTGAACCCAGGAGCCTCAAAGATCGAGTTATACAGGGTAATACAAAATGCCACCACTTATTTTGGAATAACGTTCTCAATATTGAAGGAATCTTTGATTTGATTTTTTGTGCATATAGAGTGTTTTATAGAAGAAAGATTGGTAGGCTTGCATTGCATCAACATCTTGGAAATTATGAGATATCTAACTTTCCGCGGAGGCGTGCTCTGACAAAAAATCATTCAAAAATGTAAATTGGAAAATCTGTCTTTTTAAAATTTACCAAGTACGCGAGTCAGTTCATCAAAATTGACAAAATTATTTAAGAAAAATGTTTAGATGTGACATACGTATTAATGATAATGTATGTAAAAGCAATCCAGAAATGACTCAAATAATGGCTAAGACACACATGCCAATTTTAGAAAATTGTGTTTTTGAACTTTTTTGACAATTTCATCGAGAGCATCTCTGGACGGAAAACTTGATATACATGTAGCTACGTCTCAAAGTTGTTGATGGCACATAAGTAAAACAAACAAGCATTCATCCATTACACTCTTATACATGTAAAAGATCACGAAGATTCTGTCGTTATTGAGAAATATATTCCAAAATTAGTGAGTGGCATTTTTTGTGTCACTCTGTATTAACAATTTGTCGAGTAAATAGACTGTTTAAAGTTATTATTTCACGTCTGAAAGAATGATGTGTACATTATTTTATTTTGGATGGTTTCATATTTTTCTATAATCTTACAAAATCTCACTGATGCTTTATTTACTGTATTGTATACACATGACACATTATGCATGACTTGAACCAATAAATAGTCAATGGTTACCAAAAGTTAATCATTATTAACACTGTTTTGTTACGACAATTAAATATGCAAGCATTTACTTAATTTGTTTAACAACAGTTAAACATGTATTTTCAGAGCGGTTTATGCTAATATGCCACTTACCTTTATTGCACAGTCGCTTTTCTGTCTAACAGGGGTCGTATTATTTGCTGCGTACGCAACTTGTGATCCTTTAACACAAGAGCAAATCAAGAACCGTGACCAGGTAAGAAATGGACCAAATAGATTACAGTCATTACAAGTAATTTAACTCCAGTTATGTGAAATACTTTGCCATTTATAGTTTTTTATAGAAGAAAAGAGTTAACATGATTATGTGAGAAAGTGATTTGCTGAGTTTGTTATTTCAGATGGTTACATATATGGTCATGGACATTCTTGGTCACCTCAAGGGCATGGGGGGACTGTTCATGGCCTCTGTATTTGCGGCTGCAATGAGGTATAAATCTAAAATTATAATCTATTGTCTTAACTATAGCCTAAGCTATATAAGGGTACCTAAGCTATATACCCCACAACCATCTAAGCCATAGATATACGTTATATAGAGCCAAGTACACTAAAATATACCATAAACATTAAGTGTTGGCCTATAACCTGAGCTATAGCCTCCGTACTACATCCTACAACCCAAAATAACAGCCTACATGTATAACATATTTAAAATATAGTTTTCTCAGACCCCTCAATATCATTCCAATAGAATGACAGAGCGAATTTCTTGCTATTTTAAGATTTCATCATTCTTGGATCCACAGACTTTACTATTCCTTGGAATGGTCAGAAGCTTTAAACAAAAGAGGGACTCTGAAAATCAGAATGAGATCCCATAGTTATCAACATGTTTGAATATCTCTTTCTTTTAGACCAATTGCTCTTAGGTTAGCCATTTTTCAAATAAATGCCAACATTATTACAGTACGATGTCCTCTGGCCAAAATGCCCTAGCAGCGGTGTATCTGGAAGATGTAGCAAAACCAATCTACGAATCAGTCCACAAAAGACCCATGCCAGCAAAGTTTGCAGTGGGATTGTCAAAGGCATTTGGTACGTTCATCACAACAACTACTAATGTATGCACAATATTGACTGTTTGCTTGGTTAATTTTTGATTCTTAATTTATAAATTCTTATGTTAATTATATTTCCAAAACAAATTCGTTTTACAGGTAAGCTAAACAAGAGTACATGAAAATGAATTCCAGGATACCAAAATCTTTAATGTCTTTTATTCAGGATCAAAGTATTGATCTTAACTGTACTCTGTCTTGCTCCTCAAGTTGTGCTTTTCAGTTGCAAATCATTGTTATTGATATAGAGGAAAGACTGTCTTTAATAGTGAACACCTCTCCCTAGTTAACACTCCTCCGCATATACTCTTTACTGTATGAAATTTCGCTCTCTGTAGTGAACAATTGCAACTACTAACAATGAACGTTTATCTGGGCGAAAAAAAGTTCAATATACATTGGTTTTACTGTATTGTTCTTTTAGTGGATGTCAGTCCGTTCTATACAATTCAAAGTTTGTAGTTGTTTCAGTTTTTCTATTCATTCAGCTGTGTTCTTTGGAATTGCTACAATGGCTTTGGCGTTTGTAATCGACCAACTGGGAGGTGAGATATTGACACTGGCATTGAAGATCTTTGGCATCATTGGCGGACCTCTACTTGGTCTATTCACCCTTGGGATCCTTTTTCCATGTGCAAATGCATGGGTAAGTACTCCTTAAGTAAGGCTAGCTGTCAGCTACTAACACGTAATACCTAGTCTGTCATACATGCACTTCTCATTAGTACACCAGAACGGGGCCTTATTCCATTACTCGTGACTGTTTTATTATATTTAAGCATATGAAAATGGCTACAGTTTATTACACCAAATAATGTTTAAATTAGATCCAAACCCCAGTCTAGAATATAAAATTCTATAAAATAGTGTTCTCAAAACATCAGGTTCTATGTGTTGATAATTATAACAAGTGCTCCAGATGTTTCCAAATTCTGCCCATAGGGAGCAGGTGCTGGTCTTATTGCAAGTCTTGCGATTGAATTTTGGATTAACCTCGGATTCATTCTGAATGGGTTAACAACTCCAACGTTACCAACTCGTACGGATGGATGTCCTAATGCCACATTTACCTCAAATGCAACATTTACAACAATGGTTTCAACAACAACAACAATGGTGTATGAAACGACACAAGCAGTCGAACCTACTGAAGAGTTAGTATTTGCTTCTCATATAATTCACAGAGCTTATATTATTTCTTCATTATAGTACATCAAAAATGTACAAACAAAATAAGAAATAACTGTAGTTTTTGAGAGTTTGAAGAACCTGAATGACAGTAAAGACAAAAGCATGTTAGTTAGTATAACTGTATAACTGTATTCTAAATCAATGAAACACATAAACTAAATAACTGAATAATATATTTTAACAGGCCTGCTATATTCTACATGTATAAGATCTCATATATGTGGTTCACTGTTATTGCCCTTCTGGTTACCTTTATTGTTGGACTTCCTGTCAGCTGGATAGCTGCAAAGATAACAGGTAATTAGATTGCACCTAAAATTGTTATAGCTGGAATTAAAGATAACAGGTAAAAACAGGACGAAAAGGTGCCTCGTTTTAGATATCCGTAAAAATCTACCAGAGTTTGTCTCAATAGTGTACTTATGATATTACACTTATGGAACTTTATGTTTTGTAAGAATTTGTTCAAGACTTCTGGGGAAACCCTCGTATATTTTTAATTTAAACAATCTAGATATTATACAGGGCGGGCCAAAACAAACGTCCACATTTTTGTTTTGCTACGAAATAGATGGGTATTTGTCTTGAAATAACATTTCGATTACCACAAGGGTCAAGATCATGATTTACCAATTGCCGAATTCAGAATGCTAAGAACTGGCAAGACAGATATAACCCCTTTGTCAGCTTCAAATGAAAGCAAATTGAGTCACTTGGTTTTGTTAATATAGCCTAAATAATGTAGTGAAGTCTGTTTTCAAGACATTTTGTAGATAATGCCTATTTAAGGCTAAAATTATCATAAAATGGTCAATAATGATGTTGTACAATATATCACTTAACTGACATTTTATGACAGGCAATACAATTATAGACACCAGAATTAATGAAAATGTATTCCATATCATGGGTTATGGCAAAATTTCGACCGAGTTTCTTTACAAAACGTGTTTGAAGCAAATATCAATGCATCTAGCTTTATAACGGACTACAATACATAAAACTAGGCTCCATGATTATCTTAGAGCTACAAAATGATTTACAAACAATAAAATTAAACTCAACTCCAATATTTTTTCTTCCTATATACGTAAAAGTCTAAAGGTGTTGATTAAGCAATGCAATATTATGCAATAAGGTCAAAACATAGAGCAAAATCTTGTTTTTGACTTTTACTACCTCATGTTGCGGGGATCACCATGGAGTCACCAATAGCCATTCATATTTTATGAATCATACATCATTTTGTTTGACATTGAATTATCTTTCTAATGATATATATTTCTTGTATATATCTAACATATCAGGAAAGATATTGCAAAAATAAAAATGTGGACGTTTTTTGGCGAACCCAGTACACTGTCATATACGACGTTCGAGAGTAACAAAGAATGGATTCAATGATTTTACATTATATCATAGTAATTACAATCGTTTTCTATGTTTCACTATTTTTGTATTCATGAATGTTCAGGTCGGTATAAAACGGAAGACGTAGATCCTTGCCTAGTGTGGCCAATATGTGACAAGATCTGTTGCTGCCTACCAGAGATGTTCAGAGGGTGCTGCAGAGTGCCCGAAAGAAAGGTATACTGTAGTACAACCAGAAAATAACTTACGCATCGGTACTATGTGTAGAAACTATATAACCCCTTATAAGTGTTTAACCCATTTAGATAAACGATATTGTGTGATTCAACACTATAAGCTTGATGCACTAGACGTAATATAATCTTATACTAAAAGTGCTATTTTAAAAAGTTCGTATCCAACTGAAACATGCAGAATAAGCTAACTCGAATATGTGATATGAACCTGTCTAACTCGAATATGTGATATGAAACTGTCTAACTCGAATATGTGATATGAACGTGTCTACACATTGACGTCGGAGGGGGAGGGCTTTCGGGCCGACCCTCCCCCTTTCCCAAAAATGTTAGATTTGAAACCGAGCCTTGAAAGCTCTAGAGCTAATTAAAGTTAAAGTGTAATAATGACAGATATGATACTTATTAGTTAACTAAATTAGATACATCAGTCTACATCGAGCATAGAAGATCTCATTTCTCATATCACATTTGATTCTATACTATATGAGCCTGGCCATGGGAAAACCGGTCTTATCACAAATATGAAAATTGTGCTACAGAGCCAAAATGTGCCCAAGATTAAAATAAATTCAAAACCGACTTTTTGATCTATATATGCAAGGGAAAATGGTTAAGACATAAGTCATGGCTCATTTGAAAGGTCTTTTTGTGCTTTTTAAGATAAACAAAAAATCAAAATATTGAAAAATCTGTGATAAGACCCGGCTTTTTCCTGTGGCCTGGCTCATATATAGTTTTTAGGAACCCATACAGTATGAAGAATAAGGGCAAAATGTATATTTTAGTAAATGTTAACGTTTTTTAGTCAAAGTTTTCTAAAAACACATTTTTTCTTTTTATTATTGGGAATGTTGTGCTGAGATATGTTCGGAATGAACCAGTGCTTGAAAATTTTCTGGGTGCATGCCCCCCCCCCCCCTCCCGATCCCCCTAGATTGCGCTTCGCATGCGGCGCGCTTCACGCATGACCCATCCATACCCAAAAGTGGCCCCCTCCCTTGACAAATCCTTCTGACGCCCCTGCTACATGATATGACAGTACTGGATATGAACTAGTACCAACATAAGATTACCACTGCTTGAGATACTAGTTTCTCATATATGACTAGGCTCTTTACGCCATGCAAGATATTGCCATCTTTCATCCTAAAAAGTCACACGTGTAAGATGAGATTTACTTGTGACATCACTGGTCTTTGAACATCAACAACATAGCAACAAATACACCATTGCTAAGAGTCTATGCTCATTCTACAAAACTAAGCTGTGACTTCATAACAATGGAGCTTTGTTGCCACGCGTATCTATGTATTTTCTACAATATTGTTATGACGTCATAACAATTGAAAGATGAAGTTCCATTAATCTGAAGCTATTTTTCACCCAGTTTTGTCATGAAGACATGAAAATATGGCATAATACGGAGTCATATGAGAAAAACTTTCTTGTACTCGTACCTGTCCAAAATCGTCCATTCTTGACTCGCTTATCTCATTAGTGCAAATATAGTGGTCTACATATATATTTTAGTAAATGTTAACGTTTTTTAGTCAAAGTTTTCTAAAAACACATTTTTTCTTTTTATTATTGGGAATGTTGTGCTGAGATATGTTCGGAATGAACCAGTGCTTGAAAATTTTCTGGGGGCATGCCCCCCCCCCCCTCCCGATCCCCCTAGATTGCGCTTCGCATGCGGCGCGCTTCACGCATGACCCATCCATACCCAAAAGTGGCCCCCTCCCTTGACAAATCCTTCTGACGCCCCTGCTACATGATATGACAGTACTGGATATGAACTAGTACCAACATAAGATTACCACTGCTTGAGATACTAGTTTCTCATATATGACTAGGCTCTTTACGCCATGCAAGATATTGCCATCTTTCATCCTAAAAAGTCACACGTGTAAGATGAGATTTACTTGTGACATCACTGGTCTTTGAACATCAACAACATAGCAACAAATACACCATTGCTAAGAGTATCTATGCTCATTCTACAAAACTAAGCTGTGACTTCATAACAATGGAGCTTTGTTGCCACGCGTATCTATGTATTTTCTACAATATTGTTATGACGTCATAACAATTGAAAGATGAAGTTCCATTAATCTGAAGCTATTTTTCACCCAGTTTTGTCATGAAGACATGAAAATATGGCATAATACGGAGTCATATGAGAAAAACTTTCTTGTACTCGTACCTGTCCAAAATCGTCCATTCTTGACTCGCTTATCTCATTAGTGCAAATATAGTGGTCTACATATATATATTTGTAAACTTATTGATCAGTCCACGTAATTTTATTATAACCTTCATTATGTACCCATTTATTTAGTATAGTTAATCAACTTACCATATACATCCATTTATAATTGGTATATAACCATTTAGTTGTGGAAACATATCTGAAATAACCCCAATTGTACTTTACATATCATGCCAGTTATTTAAAGAGGACATATTTCATAAAAGGTAAAGATGTGACAATGTAGAACCACACACACCCAACACACACCTCAAGAAACCTGAAGTAACATCCCTGCAAAAACATATCCCAAATGCACTCCCAACTGAGATACCTTCTTGAACTGCTATCACTCCCTTAATAGTAATAAGAAAAATGTAATTAAATGTATTCATTTAACATTTATTTCATTGTCATTTTAAAAATGTTTGTATTTTTAAAGAAATATAGAATAAACATTAAGCTATAGTCTATGAAACGAAAATAATCAATTCATTTTTTGCGTCGATCTAATTTAATTTCAAATTGTTTTGAATAAGTATAATATTTTTAATTTTAACGTTCAAATGGTGCGTCCAGATGAATTATTTCTTAAACCTTGCAGTATTGCATTGCTTAACATTATAACAAGAACGTTATTCCAGTCAACGCAGAACGATAATCGGGGTAGCTACTCTAAAGTTTACAAAATGTGAGTTTATTGGTTCTGATATTGCACAACAAAGTGCACAATTATTCATTTAAACCAAACTATTTACACGCATTTGCTCTCATATGTCTAGATAATTTCTCCATCGATACTATCATGCTTGGGTTATTGTGAAAGGACTCAGTTGGGAGTGTTAATCTTATAACACGATACATATTTTCAAAGATCAAATATGTAACGGCAACACAAGAATAGCAAAATTAAGAGAAAATGACATCTTCCCCTTTAAATTACATGATCAAGTATACGCCTCGAATATCTTCATGAATTGCAACGTATTATTATTGAATAAATGTAAATTAGGAACACAGTTTATGCTATACTAGTAATAACGCATTGAAAGTAACGTGTCAATGCATGTAGTGTATGTTTAGCAAATTCATTAAGTCAAATGTCCGATTTTTTGTGCATGGAAATAAAGTTTCAAGAATAAATTAAAAGCAAGATGCTCATGAAGTCGAGTGGAAAAAAACTATTTGCCAAACTTATTGAGGTGTAAGCGTATCAGCATGCGAAGTAACATACATACACCGTATTCTTTTACTTTTAGGGAGATGAATCCCCCTATACACAGAATGGAGAACTGAACAAAGCCTTTGATAGCACTAATGACAATATTGTCTTTGGAAATATGGCACACATCGGTGCACAAAATGGAACGAGTGATAAATATGTGGACGAACACAAATATTTGGCAAATGGTAACGCTATAAATACCATCGAGCAAACAAATCATACTGAGTTAGCGGATGTAACTCAGTTGTAAATAAATAGGTGGTACCACTACTGAATAATCTTACAGACAGATAATATATTTTGTCGTTAACCATCCTGTACTATTGCTTTGTGTAGGATTTCTCAATAGGTAACAGCACATAACATGAACATATTATAGAAACGTGTAAAGTGAATAATTTTTCAACTTTTATTATATTTTTCTAATATTGTCCATAATATGTTGATAACCTGGACTGTATGTGTTCCAGTAGATGACTGCACTGTACAAGTTTCGATATACTGTATATGTCGTTTGGCGTTATCTCGTTTATATGGATTTTCTTCAATATACAGGGTGGTCCAAAAATGTATCATTACTTAATGAAGTAGCATTTTCTTTTCAATTGAATATATTGTTGCTTGATCCATTAAAGTTTGGAAATAAGACTTTGGAGCTCTAACTATGATTTACCTGAAAAACAGAACCCTGGATTGATTTTCTCAGAAATGATAGTGATTATAAAATGGATACCTCTTTTGGCCTGCATATTCTCAAGACCTATCCAATATGGCCTATTTTCTTTGGGAATACCAAAAAGACCGGGACTATTCTAACAATCCCCAAACTACTGATGCATTCAAGAATGACATTTGAACGAATATCGGGAAAATTCCCCATGACATGCTTGACAGGGTTAATACAAAGTGTGAGTAGCCAGACTTTCAGAGCCAATGAGTTTGGATCAAGCACATTACAAACTATTAAGCTGTGCTCGCAAAAAGGTGGTATCTATGGTAACAACTTACACAACATAAAACTTACATGTCTGTAAGACAAGGCTTGTCTATGCACAAATATTGTAAAGTTTTCCATTGAACAGAAAATGCAACTTAATCGAAAATGTATACATCTTTTTTGACCACCCTGTAGATATATATAAAGCTTACATTGGCCAGCTGAAAATGTGCCATAGCCTTGTAAGCATAATGCTATTTTCTTAATGTGGGGAACATTTTGAAGGAGGTTAAGGAGCTCATTAATACTCATTAGACGAGCCAGTCAAGTGAATGTTCATGTTACCATATTTGGCAAATTTATGCAATAGAAAATATTACCAAAACATTGCCTAAGTAAGATATATTACGTAATTCAAAGATATTGTTAAGAGCCAGTGAATTCTATAAAAATGTTGTCAACTATGATTACGATGACACATCTTTAATTAATAAATGGTATCAGTCAATAACCAATCAACAAGTCTGCAAAAAGTAGCGGCAAATACACGTAGTTTACGGCTAAATTAGAATGTATATATTTAGAGAGATTGATGAATAAAAATGTCCATTGAGTGAAAAATATGTAAGTAATAATCTGATTTATTTTCAATTGTTCAATGAAATAAACTGGAATTTTATTTTTGAGTACACCATCGTAAAGGGTTCACTATTTGTAAAATATCAAAATCACACCTGAATAGCCCGACACCAGTAACATCAGATACCGTTGTCACAAATGGCAGACATAACCGTCGCTTCAATTAGATTTTCATGAATTGTATGTTTAATAGAGCACCTAGACTAAATTCCTTTGGAACAACAATCAATCAAAGTGTCTTTATACTCATTATACAATTAATATGTTCTACCATCGATATAAAGTCTTTAATTTAACCGATCAAAATAAGATACGGGACAACGGACACCGTATTACCATATGCCGTTGTTTTTGTAAATTATTTCAAATTCAGATTCCGTTGTCATAGACGATATCGAAGACGCTATATTGTGGCGATTCACGACCCAATTTGATCGAAATTGGGATTTGATATGAAACATCATCACAAGAGCTTAATACATGCACAGAATTAGCGACGATAAAATCCCATGAAACGAGGACCAAGTGATTAAAGAGTTGAATCGACGGTTGTGTCCGCCATTTGTGACAACGGTATCTGACTTGTCATGCTATTCCCGTTGTCGGGCTATTCCGGTGTGAAATAGACACAACAAAATAAATTTAAAATGGTTTTATTTATATTCTTTTTCAACAATCATCTTCAACTATGATAACAAATGTGCACGACTGGGCTTTCAAAATAATTGTAAAGGATGTTTGCACACAAACGTTTTATGTATGACATGTCAGAATATGAAACTATACATGGTATGCCTTAGAGATGATGTTCAAACAAAAATGCTTAACTCTGCCATACTCATAGCAAAATGGCGCATGTGCAAGTACATGTATAAACATACTAGAGCTCTGTGTTTTTACAATAGTAATTATGAGGGATTTGATCTGGGAAATCTCACAAGTATGATATTTATATTATCCGAGGGATAAACCTCATATCATCCCTACAGGTGAATAACGACCATGGTCAAGAACAATATCTAATTAATCCTCTTTTAAATGAGAGAAAAATTTTGGAAAATATGAAAATTAGTTAAAAATGAAAAGTTTTTGAATATATACTCGGGTTGATATTCGTATTATCCCTGATATCTTCCCTATCCAAATATGTGATTTATCACTTGCTATTATATACCTGATATTGCTCTGACCATGGTATAAACTACGATATAGTTCTGAGCTCATATATTCATAATACAAAGCTAATAAAGTACAGACATGCCATGTTGCATTAATGCATCTATGCCTATATTCACAAGGGTATTTCCAAACGCAAGACGCACGACGTGAATAGCCCTATCTCATTTACCAGCTACAAAGCTCACTTTCTAATGACTCGTATTGAACCTCATGACCATATTACCAACATCCAATAGCCTTTGGTGTCATAATTATTTGCATTGACGATCTAAGTGTTAAAACAATTACCAAGTATAGGTTTCCACCAAAACACAATCAATACTGATCGTTCACTGACCGCACGTGTACTAAAATACCATTTCTATGGCATTCTGTTTTTCCTATAAACATCAACAACGATACCTGAAAATGAGAAAAATAATGAACAGTACACGCTTTATAAATTAGGAAAAATTCGAATCAACAATGCTGTTACAGGCCTCCTAGACTTCCATCAACGCGAACGTCAGTTCTGATCTCGCGAATTACGTTCCTTGCGCTCGAACCACGATTCTCACATTGCGAACGTGAAATCTTTAATCGCGCACCACCATTTCCTTGCTCCCGAACATATTCCTCCACTCGCGAACAGAGATCCCACGGACCATATATTCAGGGAGACTATATTTACTCTGACACCGGTTTAAAACGCCTCGGCAGTTGTCTTGTGGATGCTTTGTCATACATATTTATTATTACATGGACACTGGACACACATACATTGAAGAAACTGTATAAGTAATGTCTATTAGATTATTTTCCTGATCTAGATCTTGTTTTACAACAAGCCTATTTAAAAAAACATAAACTAGTTCAGCTTCAGACTCTGCAGAGCCCTCTACTGTAAAAATGTCAGCAAATTCAATACAATCTTAAAGATGTAAATGATGCCCTGGGAGTAGTGATATCAATAGATCATTTATATAAGATTCAAATGATGAATGAAATGGAGACTGCTGTAATAAGCACTTCCAAAACACATCTCATCAGAAATATTTGAACTCGATCCAAAGGATTTCTAAAAAAGAAATGACTAAGGTAAACAATTTGAATAATGGAGTTGTTGAAGCACCAAGTAGATCCAAATCAAAAACCATATAGCCAGTGACACACTTAGTACAATATATTTATAATTCAGTGTCTAAACCATATAATAAATCCAGTTTCATATGCAATCTCAATAAAAGTTTTTTATGTAGCCTACTTATTGACCCAGGGTCATGTTTAAATTACAATAAAGAATCCTGTATCATTTTTATTGGACATTTTACAGGGGCGGATCTGGGAAGCCACGCTTGCGCGGAAAAAATTGGGCCCCTAAAATCCAAAGGTGGGCCCAAAGGTGAAATTTTGAGGCCCATTTTCTTCAAAAGTTGGCCTGAAATTAATTAATTTGGGGCCTTAAAGACTTTTTTTGCCCATAATTTTTTTGGGGCCCAATTGGGGCCCACCCAAGGAGGGGGGTCCGGGCCCCCAGCCCCCCCCCCCCCAGATCCGCCAGTGTTTTAAAGCATTCATGCATGATGAAGCACCTAGACTAGACTAGACTTCACCTTCATGCATAATGCGTACGGGTTAGCACATTAAATCATGCTTTCAAAAAGAGAATGATACCGGATTCTTTATTCCTTAATTAATTAATCGCTTTCGTGCATTTGAGCTAGATGGTTTGAACACATGATTTTTTCTTCTTTACAAAAACACATACACATTTAAGTACATAAAATGAATAGCTTCTCGTTTTCTTGGAAATGACGAAAAGAGCTACTCTTCCAGGATATATACAGGGTGTCTCAAAAAAATGTACCCAAAAGTATATCAAGAGCACAGATAAACCAATCAATATTTTCAGACATTTTTTACATGGTCATGTAGCCAAAACATGAAAGTTCTCTCCCCAATACACCATTTTTATTTCAGTCTTGTCTTTTTGATGCTTTAACCCTTTACCTTTACACCACAAAATCGATGTAACCTCATATTTCGATGACAGCCTGTATCCTTACTGCTACATTGTTCATCACATTTGATAATAATTTCGGTGAAATGTTTTGGATTTCTCTTTGGATGTTGCCCTTAAGTTGTTCTAGGTCTTTTTGCTTGGAATGAGCATTAAAACACTCCTTCAAATAGCCACAGAGAAAGATGTTTGAGGATGACGATGGCAGAACAAACACAGATAATCAGGTCAGTTATCGGCAAATAATTCAGGAGTTACCTTCCAGAGTTAGGCAGGCTATCCTGGAGACCAAATGATATCCAAATGAAAACACAGTGCTCTCAAATTGATACACAACAAAAGCTACACTAGAATCCCAACCAATGCAGTTTCTTGAACCTCTGACCTCTCTGTATAAGGGGGCTATAAGACATTGTGAGGGCCTCCCTATTCACCATATTTGAAGGCCCATACTTTTTTCTCTGAGGCTATTTGAAGGACCATTTTTATGCTAAACCCAAGCTAAGAGACCTAGAACAACTTAAGACCAGCATCTGAACAGAAATCAAAACATTCCACCAGAAGTATCAAATGTGATGAACAATGTAGTAGTAAGGGTGCAGACTGTCATAGAAATATGACGTTACATTGAATATGTGGTGTAAAAGGTAACGGGTTAAAGTATCAAAAAGGCAAAACTTAATTAAAAACTGTGTATAGGGGAAGAAACTTTCATCTTTTATCTACAAGACCGTGCAAAAAATGTCTGAAAATATTGATTGGTTTGTCTATGGTGTTGATATACTTTTGGGTACATTTTTTTGAGACACCCT